GGGCTAGTAAGAAGAACAAAGCATTCTCATACTAAAGAGGAGACAAGGGACAGCAAGGAGACTGTAGTTTCCTCAGGGGAAACTATTTACTATGTTGCTTTACAGAGCTTTATTGTCCTCAGCAGGTCTTATCTTGCCTTGTGAGTGCCACAGTACCACCAGCCTTAGGTCTTCAGCTGTGACCAGAAGAAAACAAGGAGTTTCCGCATTCCAGTCTGGCTCAGGGGGCAGGACAACGTAGGCCTCGAACATCCCCTAGAGTCAGTTTGTAATCTGGTCCCCGAGGCGCCATCAGTTGGCCCCCTATTCTCATTGTGACCATGGGCTTCTGGGTGTCTAAGGGGACAGCCTGGTCTGGCCTAGTCCTGATAACCTTTAGTTCCTGTCAGTCCAACGAAGCCAGCATCTGACTTTTGAGGGAAGCAGAATAAACTTTTGCAGGCAGCCTACTCGTTTTAGAATTTTTATCATCTCTGTTATCATTTGGGGGCATTTATTTTTCCAGTCTCTTTATTTTTCCATCGTGCACATTGATCCCAATCTAGTTCTGGTCAACTGGCAGATGCCAGCTGAGTTTGACTCTTGTTTTGTCCGTGTCTTCATCTTTGCTCCTTAGTGAGTTCTATTTTTGTTTTTTGTTTTCTCTGTGAGCACTGCTGTCAACAGATCTGTTTTTGTTGTTTTGTTTTCTTTTGTTTTTGAGCCTCTTATCAACATTTTGTTTGGCCTCGTGGTCACGATGTACATATACTTAGGTAGCCACCTCTAAAAGCTACGTCGCATTCATGCCAGCAAAACCCTCTAGTTTTTGTCAGTAAGCAGTTTGACAGGGCTGAAGCCATGTGAGTCTAGTCTGAACTATGGTTAGCCATAAGTCGACGTAGGGAAACTGATTCTGATGTCCTGGTAGCCCTCTGATTTTGGTCACCATCCTGTATATACATCCAATTGTTTGTTGTCAATCATGCCCACCCCCAGCCAGCCATTTACCATTAAAGGAGGGTCAATCTGCTTTATAAACAGTTCTTAACCACTGGGGGGAGCCGTCAGCTTTACTTCATACTTTTCTGTATAGCCTCTTTTAAAATTAGCCAACATTGTTGGGTGTGGTGGCCCACACCTGTAATCCCAGCACTTGGGAGGCTGAGGCAGGAGGATCATTGTATGTTCGAGACCAGCTTAGTCTACAAAGTGAGCTCAAGGCCAGCGTGAACTGCATAGCGAGACCCTGTCTCAAAAAAGACAAAAAATAAAAATAAAAAATAAAATGAAAAATAAAGTTAGCCAACATTTTATTTTTTAATTTTTTAAATTAGATTTTATTGGTACATTTTAGATATATGTAACAATCACACTCATCATAGAGAATTTGTACCCCTCTTCCCCTCCCCATTTACAAAGCTTTGTTTGAAAACATGTTTTCCATGTTTTCTCTTTTTTTTTTTTTACTTTTCCCTCCTTCCCTTTCCCCCTCCCTTCTCCTTTGTTCCTCTCCCTATGTGAACATTTTCCTCCTATTTCACAATATACATTTTGCTCCTTATTTACACTTTCAGTTTCAGTCCATGGTGAGCTTGTTCTGCTGCTGTGAGACCGCAGAAGAGTGGGATGGAGTGAGGCTGCTCAACACATGATAGCCAAGAAGCAGAGTGGGGAAAGAGCCAGCAAAGAAAGGCCGGGGAGAACACATACCTTCAGAGCCATGCTCAACAGTGACTTCCTTCATCCAGTTAGGCCTCACCTCCTAGTAAACCCAATGAGCTATGAACTTAGTGGATTAACCCACTGATGGAATCAGCACCCTCATTATCAAGATGGGTGTGGTGGCACACAACTGTAATCCAGCACTCTGGAGGCTGAGGCAGGAGTATCTTTGCAAATTCGAGACCAGCCTGGCCTACAAAGTGAGCTCAAGGCCAGTCGGAACTTCATAGTGAGACCCTGTCTCAAAAAGACAAAAAAATAAATAAATAAAATAAGGTCAGGACATTGGTTCCTAGAGGAATTCTTTCCAGGTTTTTAGTGTCCTGAACAAAGACAAGCAGGGGTCTACATTTACTGAAAGAGGAAAAGAAGTAAACTCTACAACACAAGAGTGACCAGCAGATTCACGGCAGTCCCAAGGGTAAGGGAAAATGATCCTTTGTGTCCAAAATTCCTGGACTGGCTTCTCCCTAGTATAAATAAGGCAGAGACAGTTGTGCTATATGAAAAACTCACTTGGCCTTCTGCCAGACTTAAACTTCGCTATCAAAAGACTCACTGGGCTCTACCAGGTATAAATGAACTGAAAACAGCGCTTTTCTGAATGGCCCCATGTACAGTGCTCAGAAGCTGTAGAGTCTTTCAGAAGGAGGGGATCTGAAAAATAATCCATTGATTTCTTTTTTTTCTTGGATTAATTGATTTCTTTTTGTGTGTGTGTTTGTTTTTGTTTTGTTTTGTTTTGTTTTTGAGGGGTCTCGCTTTGTATTTCAGTCTGGCCTGGACTCACTATGTAGCTCAAGCTGACCTCAAACTCACGGCAATCCTCCTGCCTCAGCCTCCTGAGTGCTGGGATTACAGTTGTGTGCCACCACATCTAACTTAATTGACTTCTTTTTTGAGACAGAGTCTCATTATGTATGTAGTTCCAGCAATCCTCCTGCCTATACCTCACAAGTGCTGAGATTATAAGCGTGTGCCACCACACCTGACACACGGTCACTTTGGATCCTGTGTTCTGTGTATGTTATCTGAGTTTCTTTGTATTGGTTTTTTTTTTTTTTTTTTTTTTGAGTCAGGGTCTTGCTATGCAGTTCAGGCTGGCCCTGAGCTCACTTTGTAGCCCAGGCTGCAATGATCGCAATGATCCTCCTGCCTCAGCCTCCCAAGTGCTGGGATTACAGGTGTGCGTGACCATGCCCAGCACTCTCTGGGTTTCTGTGGTTTTGAGATGTTCTTCCCAGCTGTTTTTTCAGCTTGCCCCACCCCTAATCTCCTAGCTCACAGTCACTTCCCAAAAGCCCCACCTCTGTACTCTACTGCCTTGAGGTCCACGCCGCAGCACATGAGAGGGGGCATACCACATCCAAGCAGCAGGCGGGGATACAGATTCCTGGATGGGATTGGTCTCTGCTGGAGCTCAGTTGTCTAATCTATAACAGGAAACAATCAAACTTAACCAAGGTAGCCTGCCAGACACCTCCTCAGGAAAGCTAGGAGTTCTCTTTGAGTATTGGCTGGAGAAAACTGCCTCACCCAAGGTCAGATCTCCTTGCTGGGCCGCCCACAGCCAATCACAGATCGCTGGGAGGTACTAAAGCCCAGCCCCTCCCTCAAATTGGGACAAGTCTAGGAACACCCTGCTCCAGAGCTCTGCCAGGTGAAGTGGGTGTGGGCTGAAGACTTCACGGGACTGCGTCACAGCCTGCGTCATCCTCTCAAGAATCCCGCCCCTCTCCCCTACACAGCAAGGAATCCGTGGGTATTAACCTCTGTCTCAGACTCTGATTCCTGGGGAGCCCACATTCCAACATCTGTCCCATTCAGCTGTGAGCTTCCTTAAACTGGTACGTAGCCGACGCCCAACAGCCCCCACCCTCCCTCAGTCTAATCCAGCTGACCTAGGGTGCAGCCAGGAGAAACCTGCGACACATACGCAGTAGCTCCTCCCTCAAGTGGAATCTTCTGCTTCAGGGAAAGAGGAAGAGAGAGGGAGAGGAGGAAAAGACAAAGCTGGGCATGGAGGGGCAACCCCGTCATCCCGGCACCCTGGAAGGCGGAGGCAGGAAGACTGCAAATTCAGCCCAGCTTGGGCAACTTAGCAAGATCTGTCTCAAATAAAAATAAAAAGGGCTCTGTGCTACATACACACACACACACACAAAAAAAAAAAAACAGTACCACCAAGAGAGACAGACAAAAAGAAGACAGAGGCTGAGAGGAAGAAAAGGAGGAGGAAGAGCGGCAAGGAAGGAAAGAAGGAGGAAAATGGTATGAATTCTGTTCTCTGGGCTCCTCCTCTGAGCCGGTGGCACTTTGTCAAGGGGAGATGGATAGAAGTGCCCTGTGCTCCCCAAGAGGTACCTTCTTTCACTGGATTCCATCTGAGGAGGTCTCTGAGATTGAATAAGGAACCTGAGCCATGCTTTTGTAGAATTAAATTTGAGGATTCCTGTCACAGAAAAAGAATTTTCATCCAGGCATGGCAGGTGGCGCCTGCCTGTGATCCCAGCACTCAGGAGGCTGAGGCAGGAGGGTTCAGTGAATTCAAGGCCAGCCTGAACTACACAGCAAGATCCTGTCTCAAAAGGAGGAGAAGGAGCAGAAGAAAGCCAGTTGTGGTGGCACACACCTGTAATCCCAGTACTCAGGAGGCTGAGGCAAGAGGATCGCTGCAAGTCTGAGGCCAGCCTAAAATAGTCAGAATACATAGTGACTACATAGTTCAAGGCCAGCCTGAACTACATAGTGAAACTATATCAAAAAAAAAAAAAAAAAGATTGTAGGATGCATCAATAAGAAGCACAGGAAGGGCTTATTGGGCAGAGATTTTAGAATACACTCAAAAATGAGTGCAGGTGGTCAGAGAAATGGGACACATTATTACCTGGAACAGGCATATTTATGTTTTTGTTTTTGATTTTTTGTTTTGTTTTGTTTTTCGTCTTTTTGAGACAGGGTTTCACTATGCAGTTTTCACTAAAATGTTTCTCTGAGGCAGATCCTCCTGCTTCAACCTACCCATTGCTGAGATTACAGGCCTGCACCACCTATGCTTTTCTTAAGAGGAAAAAAAACAGAGGAAAATGTGGCCCATCCCTTAGAAGGGCACTCGCCCATTCTACAAGTGTCAGAGTTTTTTTGTTGTTGTTGCTTTAGTTTTTTTTAAATAGGTAATTTAAACATCCTTTGGATTCTCTTGACTATCCTTTATTTTAGAATCAGGTGCCTGCTCTTTATTTTCTCATTTAAGCTAACTTATGGACTCACAGTATTTCTGAGGAATTTTAGGCATGATGGGTCTGGTAGGGAAGGAACCTAAGTGTACCCTCCCCCAAGTGCTCCTGGATCCCTTCAGATAACTTTGGCTGAGTCTTAGAAGTTGCAGTCTTCTTGAAAAGTACACTTTTTAGTTATATTTGTCTGTCTCCTTTGTACCCGTCTGTTATTTCTATCCTACCTCACTTTTTAGTGTTCTTCTGTTGCTGCCCCAGATCACTTGCAGCTGAGACTAATACCACAGGCGTCTAGCAGTCGGATGTACAGAGAGCAACTAAGAATTGCTAGAGCTGCCTTCTGCAATGGCCAAGAGAGATCTCAAGGCCTGGCAGTAGCTGCTGGCTCTGAATGGCAAGAAAGGCTGCTAACACTAAAAGAGCAGATAGCCACTGCCATTCGAAGCCTAGAGCTGTTAACAATAGAAGAACTACACTTTGACAGTTCATGATTTCTATACCAACTGTAATGGTTGATACATTGTGTCAGCTTGAGAAGTTTAGAAGTTTAATTCCACAGGGAGCCAGTGTCCTTACTTTATAAACATCCTGAGCTTGTGGAAGAGGAAGGCCTGGTGATGCTGTGAGTGTAAAGGACCACCCCCAGGGCGGATAGCCCGCATACACTATAAGGGAAGGAGAAAGGCTTGCTTCTCCCAGGTTTTGTTCTTGTTGCTTTTGCTTTTCTTGGCTGCCTCGGACTGCTTCTCCTCTGCCATGCCACCCTGCTTTGGAGCCAGCTGATTACGGACTGAAACCTCCATAAACTGTGAGCTAAATAAACCTTTCCTTCCTTAATTTTGGGCATTGGGTAATTTTGTCTCAGCAACAAGAGAAAAGTAACTAAGACACCAACCAAGCAAGAACCCTCAGCCAATTGATGACATCTTAGAAGCCCATATAGGGGCCCTCCCCTTTAGAGAGCTCTGAAGAAGAGGGTGAACAGACAGTGGTGACAGTTATAAGTAGCTCAAGAATTGGCCCACATTTGATTTCCATCTTACAAGCAGCCAAGAATCCATGTTACCTGGTGACAACACCGGCCCTAGAAAATTCATGCATCCATGGTGCTCTAAGTATTAAAATGTCACACAAACTAGGCAGAGTGGCACATGCCTATAATCCCAGCACTCAGGAGGCTGAGGCAGGAGGATTGTTGTGCGTTCAAGGCCAGCCTGGGATACAAAGTGAGTTCAAGGCCAGGCTGAATTGCATAGCAAAACCCTAACTCAAAAAGACAAAAAAATAAAAGTCACACAAGCAATTGGGGATGAGGGGGCAGGGCTCAGGATTTAACCAGGGTCTTCGCACTGAACTACATCCGCAATCCCTTTCTTATGTTCTATTTTGAGACAGGGTCTCACTAATTTGCTAAATTGCCCAGGCTAGGCTTGCATTTATGCACCTCTTGTCACCAGATGTTGTAGCAACCAGTGATCCTTTCCAGGCTCTTACTGTCCTGTTCAAAGAATTGGAGAACAAATGAAATATGTAAAAGCTTAACATTTATTAGAAGGAAAAGAGCAAGAAAAGAAGTGCTCCAAAGAAGAAGTACCCTAAAGAAAAGAGAAAATATGTCCTGCATGCAGGATGGGCCACTGCAAGAGTAAGAGAACAGTGGCAGCACAGCCGGTGGCTGCTGCCTTTTACATCCCCCTCCTGATGTCAGACTTGGGCTGTCCCATGCGGGGCTCTGCACATGTGTCCCAGCCTTAATGGACAAGTCTCCACAGTTAACAGGTCATGCAGATTGTCTAGCCACTTTGCTGTGCTGTAACCTCCTGCCTCAGCCTCCCAGAATGCTGGCGTTATAGGCATGTATCACCATCCCTAGCTTCAGACAAGTAATTTTTTTAAAAATTCTTTACTGAAGTATAATATACAAACAGAAAAAGCCTTATGCCCCCCCTACACACACACACACACACACACACACACACACACACACACCCATTGACCTAGTGGCCAAGATGCAGCGAGCAACCCTAGAGTCCCTGGGAATGGCGGCTACAGACAGGCCCTACAAAGATGCTTCGAACTGGACCCGCTCTGCTCCCCATGGGTAAACTCACAGAGAAACAGGAACGGATAACAACAGAACACTGGGAATCAGTTGGAACACTGGGCATCAGCAATTTTGCACAGGATGCTCTGAGGAATATTTACCGTAGTCTGCCTGAGGGCGGGACAAAGTTGAAAAAGCAAGATGAGTTTGGCGCTTTGGAAAGTGTGAAAGCTGCCAGTGAACTCTCTTCTCCATCAGGAGAAGTAACTGAAGGTAAGAAAGTCCCTGCGGAAAGTCCAGGGCTTGTCAAGAAATCTTGTTATAAAGATGCTTGGCGGATGAAGGTGACACTGAGCAGCCCTTCAGAACTAGGTGTTTACATGATTGAAGAAGTGTACGAGAAATACCTGCAATCGATTGAGTGAAGCAGCACCCCCTAATAAACCAGTGTGAAATCACTTTCTCCAGCATAGTTGTCTTCTATTAGAAGATTTAAAACACAAATTTAGCAGTTTTTCCCAGCTTTCGGTGGTGGCGGCTACCCGGCTTCGGTTTCTAGTCCTCTGAGGGCAAGGCTGCGTGGACAGTGGTCCCCGGCACCCTGCACCCCGCCCCGCCTCAGCTTTCTGTTTCGGCGCCCGGCGGCGCAGCAGCGAGCAGCCGAGAGGCAGGCCATGAAGTGTGCGGTGATGGGAGACCAAGCTGTAGGTAAAACTTGCCTACTGATCAGTTATACAACCAATGCGCTTCCAGGAGAATATATCCCTACTGTCTTTGACAGCTATTCTGCCAATGTTATGTTAGATGGAAAACCAGTGAATCCGGACTTATTGGATACAGCTGGATAGGAAGATTATAACAGATTATGTCCCCTCTCCTATCCACAAACAGATGTGTTCTGTTTTTTTGTTTTTTTTTTTTTTCTAGTTCCGGGAATCGAACTCACAACCTTGTGCTTGCCAGGCAGGCACTGTGCCGCTGAGCTAAATCCCCAGCCCAAACAGATGTGTTCTTAATTTGCTTTTCCCTTGTAAGTCCTGCACCATTTGCAAATGTCCGTGCAGAATGGTATCCAGAAATGCGACACCATTGTCCCAACACTCCCATTATCCTTGTGGGAACAAAACTTGATCTTAGGGATGATAAAGACGCGATCGAGAAACTGAAGGAGAAGAAGCTGACTCCCATCACCTATCTGCAGGGTTTGGCCACGGGAGATCGGTGCTGTAAAATACCTGGAGTGCTCAGCTCTCACCCAATGAGGCCTGAAGATAGTGTTTGATGAAGCTATCCGAGCAGCTCTCTGCCCACCTCCTGTCAAGAAGAGGAAGAGAAAATGCCTACTGTTGTAAATGTCCAAGTCCTTATTTCTTGGTCCTATCCCTTGGAACCTTTGTATGCTTTGCTCAAAAAATGGTGGGAGCTGGGCATGGTGGAGCATGCCTGTAATCCCAGCACTCGGGAGACTGGGGCAGGAGGATTGTCGTGAGTTCAAGACCAGCCTGAGCTACAAAGTGAGCTCAAGTCCAGCCTGAACTGCATAGCGAGACCCTGCCTCAAAAAGACAAAAAAAAAAAAAAGGTGGGGCCTTCTTCACACTCAGTGCCAAGTTTTTGTTACAGATTAACTTTTCCATGAAACCATTTTGAACCAATCAGTAATTTTAAGGTTTTGTTTTAAGTGTAAGAGTTCAAACTCACATCATATTAAAATTTAGCCCTAAAATAAAATACAAATTTAGCCAGGCATGGTGGATTACAGCCACACCTGAAATCCCAGCACTTGGGAGGCTAAGGCAAGAGGATTACTGAGAATTCAAGGCCAGCCTGGACTACATACTAAGTTTAACCCCAGCCTGAACTGCACAGCAAGACCCTGTCTCAAAAAGAAAAATAAAAGGTAAAACATTTAGCAATAATATAATTATGGGAAAGGAATCACTCTCAACCTACTCCTGAGAGAAAATACAGTACCTGTAACTTCCTAATGATTGCAGATAAACATAATGTGCATCTTTTTTATATGCAACACAAGCAGAAACACCGAAAGGACACCCAGGATTTGGAGATAGATTTATTTTACATTGATGGGCACTGACTAAGAATCAATTGTTGCTCAAAATGTTAGGTCTTGAAGGCCCAAGGAGGAAAGTTTTTATGGGGTTGCAAAGGGGAGGTACAGCGGTGGAGTACTTGGCTGTCTTTGATTGGCTTTTACAATATGCATCATAGTGACCACCTGTGCATCACAGTGACCAGCCATTTCTAGGAGATAATACTAACAGGAACCATAACAGGAACTGTTACCTGAGCAACTAACAGATTGGCTCAGGGGCATTTTTTACTACAATATACCTTATGATTTTTAGAATAGATTGTAGATTCTGATATTCAGGATTCATGAAATTATCCATGGTAAAACCTAGGTATAGCAGAGCATGGTGATACACACCTATAACCCTAGCACTTGGGAGGCTGAGGCAGGAGGATCACTGTGAGTTCAAGGCCAGCCTCAGCTACATAGTGAGTTCAAGGCCACCTTGAACAACAGCAACAAAAAAAAAACCTAGTTACAAAAATTATGTAATTCAAGGATAACATTGTTATCATATTATATAATATTGGTTTTTTTTTTTAAAAAATCAGATTTATACTTGTATACTGTGTATAAGGATCAAATCAGGGCAGTAAATATTTCCTCTCTTTAACCATTTAAAAAAATTTTTATATTAAAGAGAAAAGAAAACAAAATAATAGAAACAAAGACATAAAACAGTACAGAAACAATAAAAACGATACAGGATTTCAAAACAAGGTGATAGGAAATTAACAATGGTTGTTGTATTACATAATGTTATCCTCAAAGTGGTTATTCAGATAACCAGATATGGGCATGTAAGACTGATCAAACGAATGTTAACTGTTCCTTTCAATAAACCAATAGAAATTAGTAGTACAATTATCTTAGCTATCTTGTGTGTGTATATATATATACTTTTTTCTTCTTTCTTTCCTTTCTTTTCCCTCACCCCAGTTGTTCTTTCTTTTTGAGCAATTTCTTTCCCTTTCACAATATCTATTCTATCTTTCAGATTTTATTTACTCTTTCAGGTTCTTATACTAGGGAGACAATATGATGTTTTCACATGTGAGTCTGATTTATTTCACCTATGAATATGGTCTCTAGTTGCATCCATTTACCTGTACAAGTCTCCAGTTTATCCTTCTTTGTGGCTGAGTAGTACTCCATTATATACAAAGACCACATCTTTTTTTATCCATTCCTCAGTTCATGGGCATTTGGGTTGTTTCCAAAATTTAGCTATTACAAATTGGGCTGCTATAAATATGGGTGCATATATATTGCTGTGGTATGATGTTTTCAGTTCTTCTGGAAAAACACCCAAGAGGGAAATAGCTGGGTTGAATGGGACCTCTAATCCTAGTTTACTGAGGAATCTCCAGACTGATCTCCACAGTGGTTGCACCAGTCTACACTCCCACCAACAGTGGAGAAGGGTTCCATAATATTGTAACTTGCTTACATTCCTCCCTGGATTTTGATTGAAATATTTACATGGTCTTTTTCTTGGAAATAACTAGGAGTGGGGCTGGGGATTTAGCTCAGTGGCACAGTGCCTGCCTGGCAAGTGCAAGGTCGTGAGTTCAATTCCCGATAAGGGAACCCCCCCCCCAAAAAAGAAATAACTAGGAGTGAAGGAAAGTGTCAGTTGCAGTTGTACAGTGTCAGATGAAAAAAAAATACTTTTTTTTTGAGGCAAGTTTTGCTATGCAGTTCAGGATGGCCATGAACTCACTATGTAGCCTAGGCTGGCCTCGAGCTCTTGGTATCCTCCTGCCTCAGCCTCACCAGTGCTTGGATCACAGGCATGCACCCTAATGCCCTACTTAAGAACACTACTTCCTTAATTTTACAATGTACTGCCTATGCTGGTGCTGTTTTTATTTAGTGAAGCAACAGCTTTGCAGCACAATAAAAAGCAAATAAAATATTCAACTCTGAAAATTTTTAAAAAACCTTATGAATTCTCATAAACTGGACCAGTACCCTAGAAATCACATATTTGTAACAAGTTTTCACTTAAGCCTGTCCCTTCTCTTTCTTTCTCTTTTGTTTTCTGCCCCTCCCTAATCCTTTTCTTTGAAGAGAAGCCTTTCCTTAATGTTCATTGCTATGTTCCAGCCAGATCTACCTCTGGATAGTGAAGCTCCCCATAATCTTTACCCGCTCTCCATAATCCTGTTTTCTCCTATAAAAGCTCTTCATTGATAGAGCCCAGACAGAGATGCTGCCAGTTCAAATGAGCCTACTGCCATCATAGAAGAATCTAGGTCTCATTTTACTTAGGTCATGACCAGTCCCCCAAGGATGTATCAGTAGGTCACAGAGGACACATCAGCAAGTCACTAGAAGACCACCTCAGAAGACCACCAAAAGAGACAGCATCTCTGTTTGGCTTCCACAGAGAGGTCCCTCTCAGGTTTAGCAATAAATCTACTTGGGCTGTTGAGTTCCTGTCCCTTCTTTCCCACTCATTCATGGCCCCAGTGTGGTAGCATATGCCTGTGTTCCCAGCAGTCTGGGAGGCTGAGGCAGGGACTGCAGCAGGGACGTGTTAAAGCTTGACCTGGGTACTTAGTGGCTTAGTAAGAGCTTGTTTTAAAATATTGAAAAATGAAGAAAGGTGGGAGGTGGAGGTGGAAATGTAGCTCAGTGTGAAGGTCATGGGTTCCATCTTCACTGTGAAAAAAAAAAAGTTCTTCATGCCCTGAAGCTATCTAAGAGATTTAAAACAGAAAGTCTCCTGTCTTCAAGGACAGTCTTTAAATAAAACCTTTTCCTTCCACCAACTTTGGCTTCCCACATTACTGGTTGAACAATGTGCAGCCCAGACATTTTGGCTCTGGTGCTATAACCAGCCTTCAGATTAGCCTTACAGTTGAGTCGGCCAAAAATAGTCCAGGTTCTTGTGTATGGCAAGGAAAGAATTGCCGGCATATACCTCCTAGTAGCTATCCAGGGACAGTACCAGCAGGAAAAGGCAGAAAGTCGAAGGGGAATAAAAGAGAGCTCGGTAACTCAGGCTCTGTGACCCTAGGTGCCTCCCCGTCTCACTGGTGTCAGTAATCTACCGATTTGGGTGTTAGACCTCTCAGTTTAAACCTGGGTAATCATGAGGGTGGTGTTGTGTTTATGACTGGAGAGAAGGGAGGTGACTCACACAGCATCCCAGTTTTGGGATTACGGAAGCATGCATAACCTGTAGGGTGGGGCGGTGGGAAGAAGGGCGCGGCTCACTCAGCTCCCTTGTTTCTAACTGTACTATTAGGACACGGGACTTGAAAGCGAGCTTGTTCTAGTCATCCCTCTCCAAGGACAGACTCTGATGATGACATTATAGACT